AGTTAATTTGCGTATAGTTAATTACACGATAACAAAGAGAGATGCCATTTGGGTAATTCTGGTTTGGGATATGTGTGTCCAAAAAAAATCTGATTTGGGACATGGAAGAGCTAATCTCAGAATTAGAGTTATTCTTTGTTTTATCCTTTTATGTGTAGTCGATTGTTTAATTTGTATAAGCATTGGTTGAAGCCTGAAGGGACCAATGTGTCAATTTAGAAAAGGAAAAACAGAAGAACACACAAGGTTTTGTTAATGTGGTATCATCAGGATGATGTTGAATGAACACTTCTACTATACTATAAAGTATTGGTGCTTTAATGTACAATTTAAAGTTGTACCATAATGTTAAATGTATAAGTTCAGGTTGTACCATAAAGGAATTTGTACTATTATGTTATGGTACAACTTTACAACTTGAAGTTGTACCATCACATAAAGGTACAAGTTCAAGTTGTACCATAAAAGAATTTGTACAAAAAGTATAGGTACAATCTGAGGTTGTACCATAACGTTAAATGTACAATTTCAAGTTGTACCATAAAGGCAAAACCTTATAGCACCAATGCTATATAGCATTGTAAAATTCCTCGATGTTGAATATGTAGAGTTTAGGTACAATTGTGTAAATATATACATATGGCCCGTTTGGATGGAGGATTTTAATACGAGGGATTTATAAAAGATTTGGATCCAAATTCCTCGTTTAAAAAACCAAGAAATTTAAATGAGTTATTTGGCCAATTCACTTATTTGTTTAGATATGTAGGATTTAGACCCCAATTATAAAATTACCAATTTGCCCTCATCCGCTTCCTCCTCCACCACTTCTTGCGAAAGCCAGGCCGAAAAATTCAGGCGGCAGATTTCCGACGACTTCGCTGATCCATCCTCGCCCTTCACCCACACTCAGAGAAATTGCAAATATTGGAGAATCCAAACCCAGAAGAACCCCAAAACCTAGAAAATAGCCAATCAACCCACAAAGCTCCGACTGGATTTCATAGTTGAAGGTCGATATTCAGCTTTCTGGACTTCTTCGTCGAAGGTCGGCAAATCACTTTGCCAGATTTCTCGAACGACGTCCTTAACCTTGACAAATCGGTCGCCTTCCCCCGCTGCTCTCCGCCTGGGCGAACCCTCATCGTTGGATTCGAACTTGTCCCTTTGGCATGCTCACCAATCCAGGTCGTCCTTGCAAATGATGACGTCCCTCTAGCTTCCACCTTTAGCCGCAACTCCACTCGTCCTCAACGACCTCATGTGGCGTTTAATCTCCATCGACTAGATTTTGTCAACGATTCAACAGGATCTAGGGATTTCAGAGCTTGTTTCCGCCTGAGATCTTTCTGCTTCCTCTTTTCCCTCCGACACCGCAATGGGAGAGGCAGAGCAAAACCGCCTAGAATCGTGATCGTCGATGACTGTTCATCTGATGGCTGTCGAACATTAGAGGTTAGAAGAAGAAGGGTGGGGAAGAGGCAGGGAAGATAGGGAAGAAGAAGGTTTAGAAGAATGGGGAAGTGAATCTGGGAAGAAGATGGTTAGTTATGGAAGATAAACAAATATAATAAGGGATTTCAAAATAGCTAGTCCCCATTAGCTAATTTAAAATTTTGCATATGAAGGTTTTTGAAATCCAACAAGTTTAAAAACACTCATTTTTTTTGTCCTTTCCAAATGAAGGAATTGAGTGAAATCCGGCATTATAAGAGATTTTGGTGATATCCCTCATCAAAACCTTAATCCAAACGTCCCGTTAGGGTTTTGTAGTGCCAAACCCTATATATATGCGGTTGTATGTTATGTTGGGGGGTTAAGAAAATACTAAAAGATAAAACTTGAGAGGGAGATCCTCTTCATGGACTAATGTCATATTGAGGATAGCACATTGATTCGAGCCAAAATGTACACTTTTTATTCCCGTTTTTCTTTGGCGTTTGTGGCATTTGAACTCCATGCAGGGTGGTTTTACGCTAGGTTTGCTGTGTTTCAATGTGTTTCAGAGTCTAACAGGTGTAACCAACCCCGGAGTCGAAAGTTGGAAGAAATGGCGCGAGGAACGGGCAAGGAAGAGCGACAGCTGTTGTTCACGTTCCAAGCTGTGAGTTCACGGTCACCAGGACCGTGAACTGAAGCCACAAACCGCGAACTAAAGGGCGTCCTGAGAGGTTTCAGACGTTACTGACTTCGAGCCAGTTCACGGTTGTAAGACCGTGAACTGAAGCCATGGACCGCGAACTCAACAAATGAAAGCGGTGCATTTTGGCTGTGTTCACGATTCAGGCCAAATGTTCACGGCCGTGAACTAGGACCGCGAACTGAACTCGATCAATATATAAATGGAGAGCTGAAAGGAAGAAGGGGGGGGAGCACAAAGTGAGAGAAACCTTCTTCTTCTTGAAACCCTAGAGAGAGAAAGTCACGAACCAAGAGGGAGAAGAGGCTAGGGTTTGCTCCAAGCCAATAATTGGGAAGTTCCTCTTGAAGGAAGGATCTCTACAAGCACGAGAAGGATTGAGGCATCACAATGCTGGTTTTTTCCCTTTTCCTTTGTGTTCTTCCTTCTTCTAGCAGGGAGTAGTCTCCTATTGACTTGGGTGTTGTAGAACCCTAACTTCTACCATGTATTTGATTGTGTGGATTGAATGATTGTGTGTGGGTGATGTTTAATTTAAAGTTTTGAGGTATTGTTCATGATGATTGTGCATTTCGCTAGATAATGTTTCAAACAATTGAAGTAGGGGTACATGAACCTTCATGTGTTGATATCTAAACATACTTGCCATATATTGCACCCATTTAAGGTTTATACTTGGGCCTTAAGTGGGATTTAAGTGTGATATTCGGAGAGACTCACACATTAAAAAAGTCTTGGGTGTTTTTTCCAATTATGTGCATGCTCACTCCAACTACCACAATAAAAATCCCGACTAGAGCCCAGGTATAAACTCTAGTAGGGTGCAGTATAGGGAAAGTGTTTTAATTGTCAAGCCGAGCCGGTCCATGTACCCATACTTCAATCGCTTATGTTGGTATCTAGAAAACGACTTGGATTTTAAAACTAAGAAAACTACAAAGTAAGCAATATCAACAATAAATCGAGGTTGTCCCATTACGAGAAGAATTCACCCGGGTATTGCTCCCTCTAACTACATATCAAGATCGACCGAATATAATCCATACCTGTAAAGGTGTGTTCATACACCGTAAAGAGGGTGCAACTAGTGATATTTCGAAACACATATGTTCGACATACTCCCAACACAATGTTGATAGGTAGTTTGAACTTGACAATGAGATCACTACTTTTCAACAAAGAGATCAAGACATTCGATCTTATTATCAAGAGCTCATGACTCATTGTATTGAATATGACCTCCTCACCGCTCTATGGTTCTTGAAGATGCGTCAGCTACTGTCTTGCAAGAATGCTCCTGCTCCCGATTTATGTAATTTCTAGGTAAGCTTCGCCTAGAATATGAGTCTTTACGTTCTTCTCTTCTTCATCGTCTGGTGAATATTATCAAAGAGTTTGGAAAGACTCTTATCAATCAAGCGGTCACACTGATTGTGGAGAGTATCTATCCCCATGTATCCCTTTATTTTTATGTTTGTTTGAAGCTCGACTCGAGCTATCCAAGCTTGAGTTGAAGCTGCGTGACCTTGACAAAAGTACCTAAAATTTCACGATGTCAGGATCTTATCAGAGGCTACATTCCCCGGCCTGACGTCGAATTCCCTAGTCAAGGCTTTGCTCACGTCGGCCAGGTATTCCCTTTTGCGGGGAATCACATCAAAAAATATCTTGATTGTTGGCGCATATGTTCCAATTCAACCATATATACCTTAGGCTCAGATATGGAAAATTGAGCATGAAAGACCTGATCTATTTATTGTCAAGTTTGGATGGAGTAGATGGGAAGTTGACGTACCAAGCCAAGGCTGCCATTGCCAATAAGTTGTCGAACAAAATTAACCTAACAAAATCTCCTACATTGCCACATTGGACAGTATAACATCCAACATGATCTATAATGGACCAGTATCCTGTCCTTATAAAGGTGGCAAGCTCGAGCACCATAAAGCCCATTGAAAATCAGTATAGCCTATCTACCCATTTTAGGTAGGGCTTCCAGTACATATGTGGCGTGGCATCATGTCCCCCTTGTTTCCCATCATGCGACATAAACCAAATGCGGTCGACGTCATTCCAATTAAAATGGGATGACATGGGTATTTGGTAAGATCATGGTTGTGCGACATGATCCATGTTGCCACCGAGACCTCCTCCCACCCCTATGTTTAGAGGAGTTACATAGGACCTTGCCTATGGGATAGAGGGACGAGCATAACCCCTGGTCCCGACATTTTTTTAAACTAATGTATTGAACATTATGGTGATGTTTTCTCCACATGGAGGGACCACTTCAACTCCCACACGTACATGTGATGACTCCTCCATTCGAGCAATGGTAGGACTCTTGCAATGATCTATATGATGCATAGGTGGTTGGTTACTTCGACCACCGGCGGAAAAAAGAACGATATTGGTAGGAGTCTAGTATATTTCATAATGCCTCGTGGCTAGGAGGATTGATCTCATGGCATGACCTCTTACCTCCATGGAGTTCTCTGTCTCGTGGTCATGACTTCTCCACTCGCGCCCATGGTGCTCTTAACTTGCGGTCACTTCTACTTGATCTCCTAAAAATTGGGTTGCTAATGGGGTGAATATTCTTTGTTTTAGACGTGTGACCAGCATCACTTTAATTCGGTGACATGAAGTGTGTTACTGTGTTTGCGGCAAAATGAATAATATTTTGTATTCCATTTGTTAGGTTTGTGGACAAAAATATGTAGAGAAACAAACCAACATTTCAAATAAATGGCATCTTATACACAAAATTTTCCTGAAATGCGATCACTGGTACAACATGATGGATAAGTACTTAAAAAACGGTCGTAGTAACTTGGAATCCTCCAGGGGCTAAAACGTAAGCAACAGCAACTTTTGTCATCGGAACTTAACGTACAACTCGGTGCAGACTCTTCACAAGATCCCTCATTGTCGTAGCCGAATCGCTGCCGTCCATCTGCATTGACGAACAATCAAATGTGCTTTAATTACTGTGCATTGGATACACGACAAAACAGACTCCATACAACCAAAACATTTGGAGTGACAACTGACAACTGCATGAATTTTGGAACTACTCTTTGTTCGTGAAGAGCTGGAATAATAAAACAATAATGAGCTGGGCTACCTATTTTCCTGTGACAATAATTATATTCATCTATTTGTTTATGTGATATGACAAAACAAGAAAGGAGATTCGTATCCACACAATTACATACAAGTTAGTTTTAGTTTAGACATTAGATCTTTTATATATCACACAATCTATACTTAAAGATTGCTTACCTTTAATATATATATATAATTAGCATTTAAGTACATTTATGGTGACAGCCATCGCATACCAAAGATAAGATACAGTATTCAGGGCAACTATTCTGTGAATATATATTATTTCTAATTTTATTTTTATTTATAGACCACAAAGTTTCGCAAATAAAGTTGGAACTAAACTTGTTTTTTTTTTTTTTCGTTACATTATTCTGGGCTTCAGCATTTTGGAGCTAGACTGATCAGTGGTGCAGCTAGGTTGAAATTAGGACGGTTCATAATCCTGCTTAACTTTGAAATATAGGTATAATTATATGTAAAATTTGTATAAATATAGTAATTATAATAGTGGATAAGGCTTCATCGCCACTCACTTAATTACCACAATTCAAATCAGTCCCTCGTCGAGATTCATGGCTCTGCCACTGTAAGTACTAATCAACTTAAGTGGGTATTAAATAGTCATAAAAGATCGGCTTTGTCATGAACTGGATATGACAACTATTGTTCAAAGATGTTATATGCAAAAAAAAAAAAAAAAAGGGACAGAGTTGCTGTAATAATAATATAGGTGGCAAAGCCATTATTGATTGCATGTTGGGTGGGTCTGGATAAATTTCACAAGCATGTGGGGGATTAATTTTTTTAAATATCTGCATTCCATATATTCTAAGAAATCTAATTTCTTTCTCGAAACGGGAACTAAACCCATATCCCGACCACAGAAGAACACCTATACCCTAACCTAATACAGTAAATAACTAATGTACGATTAGGATGGCAATCAAACCCATGCCCCACGGGTATTCGACCGCCCCCGACCCAGTCAACGCGGAGAATTCCCGTTTTGACTGGGTATGGGGCGGGTATGGGTAAAACTCGCAAAATGTTTGATGGGTATGGGGCGGGTATGGTTTTAGCCTCCCCCGCCCCATACCCATACCCGCCCCACCAAGAATATTTATTCACATATAAAAAATACATGGATGAAATAGTAATCTATCAATGATAGTGAGGGTAAATAAAAAAAATAATTAGTAGAAATGCAATTGAGTGGTCACCCAAATCAAAACCTAATTCATTTTCCTCAACTCTCTCTTCACTCTTTCACTTTTCCCTCGTGTTAGCAAGATTATATTAGTTCATTATTGCTTAGTATATGTATTAGAGTCAGATAAATAATTATTTGGATTACATTGTAGTACTCTATTTTATGGAGTAAGCGAAATTTTAGGATAAAATGCTTTGAACCATATTAAGAATTATTGCCACTTTCTCGACTTCATGATATAATAGGTGCCTTTAATGTTATAATTGAAAATTTACATGTAAAATTTTATGTATTATAATGTTGGATGTACGGGGCGGGTATTACCCATGGGTACCCGAAACCCACGGGTATGAGGATGGGTTTGCAAAATCTTCCCCGCATGAGTATGGGGCGGGTATGGGTTTAGATATTTGAAAGCGGGGATGAGGATGGTTTAGGCAAACCCGCCCCATTACCATCCTAGTAAGATTAGAAAGTAGAGAAGAGTCGGAAGCTAAAGTCAATTATATATGGTTACCTGATGAGCCACAAGTGTGATATCAAGAATGGAACTTCCGAAAGGCAGCACCGTGCTATTGACGACATTCAAACGATGCTTCTCGATTTCGGCTAGCACTTTGGACAAGCTTCCTTTCTGCCTCTCGCAGTGGATCCTGATCAGAACGTGTCCATCCGACACTCTTGCTTCGATCTCCGGAAGTGGCGACTCATGATTACTCGACGGCCGACCAGCTGAAGAAGAAGAAGAATACTCGTCCTCTACGTGGACCTGCGATTTCTTCACGAACAGAACGCTCTCCATAGCTTCCTTCCCTGCAGTTTGCTCCTCCAACGACTTGACGCGCTCCTGAAGATGCTGCAAGTACTTGGTAGCATCTCCTAGCACAGATGCCTTATCCATCTGCAGATCAAGTAGCAGTACTTAGAACCTCGAGCAGTCGTCTCCAAAGTAATTGTATGGGTTAGCTCATAAGTCAAAAGCTAGTTTCTACGTGGAAACGTTTTGGTGATCTAGAAGCGTAAAATCGTAAGTTTTTAACTATATAAGTCATAAAAACTGAAATTTTGTGTAGAAGCGTTTTCGTGACCTAGAAACGTAAAAATCATAAATTTTTAAGTTTTAAAATGCGATTCTAACTACATTGGTCATAACCCAACAACTTAGTTTCAGAAACAAGCAAATTGAAAGATAAACAGAGCAAGCAACTTCCACACAATATGGGGCGTTCATTTCATCTTCTGTTGAAAAGAAAGAATCTTATTCAAGCCCAGAAAACAAAAATGAAACAGTGAAACTTTTGTTCTCGTTATCTCTTGGAACTTTCAGTTTCGAACATAGAGGGAAATTGAAGGGTTCGAAAGAAAAACGACACACACACCTTCTTGAGGCCAGGAACAAGAGCCGAAAGCGCGATGAAGCGCTGACTGAGCTTCTCGCGCCGTTTCCTTTCAGCAATCACATGGTCTTGCGCATGAGCAACGCTCCTACTCCTGCTGCTGCTGCTGCTACTACTTCCACCAGCTGCCCTTTTGGTCTCTCCATCTAAGGCAGCATCCGAGTTCAAATATGGGTAGTAATCGTCAAATTCGGCCATCACTCCATCTTCGGTTCTATAATCAGCAGCAGTTTCCGACTTCACAGCTGGGCGGGTTGGAGGAGAAAGCGAGTTTCCGAAAGAAATAATGCGGGAAGAAGACGGAGGAGGAGAATGCGAGGGCTTCAAACTCGCTGCGGAATGATCCCAAGTCGGTAACTCGGTGGGGTTTCGCTGCTCTGGTGGCCTTCCGAAGCTGCCAGTTGCAGTAGATGCATAGTTGACGGTGGAGACGTTGTCTGGGTTGATCATATTATTCTGCTCGGTGTGGCCATTTATCGAACACCTTTCGTGCATGAACAATGAGTCGAAGCTGAAGTGATCGCCGGAAGAATACACGAACTGGTTTTGCATTTGGTAACTGTCGTAGTCACCTAAACCCGCTGGATCCTCCGTTTCCTGCAGAGACAAAAAAAAAAAAAAAAAAGAGGATCAATCGCCGTTTGAGTAGTTTCGGAAAGAAGCGAGCAGATCTACCATTTTGGTGGGCGGGAGTTCCATTGTTACAGCAGAAGCGGCAGAATCTCGAGCTTTTCCTGATCGATCTTGGTTGTAGATCTTGAATTGAACGAGATCAACACGGCCGCCTAACTTCTTCCTTTCATTTTCTCCCTTTCTATATTTCCGAACCCAGCTACATGTTCAATTTACTGTCAATTAAGCGGGGAAAAAAACCTTTGTTGACAGATTACAGCTTTTAGAGACGACAATTGAAAAAAAGAAAAAGCAGGTAGCAGTGATGGGCTTAATATAGTAGAGACAAATCACGAGGAGAGGGGAAAAGGTGTATTTTGATGCCTATCAACTGGGAGTTCTAGAAGCTGGAAGAGAGAGAGAAAAGTGGAGCAGCTGGTTAAGTTGGACTTGGGAAGGGAGGGTTTTCACTTTTCCGAAACTTTCCAGGGAAACCAGGAAACAAGCACCAGTGAGTGTCTGTTTACGCGCAACGTTGACATGGTTCAATGACAGTCCAAAAACATGAATGAATGAATGAATGAATGAATTAATTAGTGGTGATATAATTTTTAATTTGTTTACATGCGATATCACGTGTGAAAATGGGGTTCGGGGGAGGATATATAATTATATATCATATAAGTTTAAGAATTACGTTGAGTTGTGCGCACTTGTTGGATGTTGACCCGCGAATAGGAATGTGCCAAGTCAGCGCTTCTGGACGGAAGAAGAAGAAGAAGAAGCGCCTCACCCTTCTAGTTTCCAAAGTGATTATCATGCTGATTAGTTTTCTTTGTTTTATGTTATTTGAGTTAATAAAGCTACTTTTTGGAAGCAAATTTGTGTATACGGTTTGTATGATCTCAATCTTTATAGCTAAATTATTATGCGCTTGGTAACTGTCCAGATGATTTCAAATAAGTTGATTATAACGATTATTTTTTTCCGTGTAATTCACTTCCTTGAAATCCTCAGAACTTCCCCTTATGTGAAGAGTCACCATCTTCGTAAACCCCATTCACTCAAGAGAAATTCTAAGATTTTTTCCGGTAAATTTTCCGATTTAAGTAGCTTTTAGAACTTCGAATGTCGTTGTTGCTCTATTGACTTGAAGCACTCGATTCAGGATAGACAAACCAAAAACATCACCACCATTGGATTAAACCCATCCATATTTTCTAAATTCCACAATCTCACTGGTTTCTTTGGATTTCCATCTTCTGTGTGTTTGCACCTTGATGATGATCCATCATTTGAAGTATAGGTTTAATCTCCCTCTACTTTGTCCTCGTTTCTTAATTTTTAGTCATAATAGTGATAAGGTTGAGAAGGGGTCTAAATTTTTTTGGGTTTTAAGGTTAAGTTGACAAGTACATGGAAGTGTGTTGAAATGGTTTAATAGGGATGGAGTGTCTAGTAAGGCACTAAGGCTGCAATGAAAATTGTAAATCGGCTGCCTCTAGAATGGTAAGAGGTGGCAATTGGATCGGATTCGTGGATTGGATTGATGGATCCATGGATCAAATGGATTGGATCCAATGGATTGGTGGATTCATGGATTGGATCAAATGGATTGGTGGATTGATCCATGAATCCAAATGACATCCAAAGCTTGGACCAAAATGTAAATTTTGAAAAGTGTAGGTACTAAAATGTCCTAATGAAAAAATTTAGGTACCAAAATGTAACTTTCCAATGATTTTTTTCGTATAAAAATATAAATTTTAGGTACCAAAATGTAAAATATAAAAAATATAGGTACCAAATCGTAATTTGCCATTTGGATCCATGGATTGATCCATGAATCCACCAATCCAATTGGATTTGGATCAAATGGATTGGATTAAGTGGATAATTTGGTGGATGGATTGGATTGGATTCATGGATTTGGATCCTAATTGCCACCTCTAATGGGTGATGATTTTGGGAGGGATGTTTCAGCTCGTGCCAATTTCTGAAAGCACCTATAGCCTCTCTTAATAAAATTGAAGTTTCTCACATCGCAGATTTTATGGTTTGAATTCTTGTGTCCACATCAACTAGCAAATGGAGTTGTGAGTTTTACTAAGGTGGTTTGTTACGAGAATCAAGCCATGTAACTATTGGACTTTGATATGTGCTTGATTATTTTATTATTTAGTATTTTAGTAGTAATTGTTTTTATTATTGTTTTCATTGTTCAAGTAGGATTTAGTTTATTATTTAGGAGTTTATTATTATTTTCTTGTAGGGTAGGTTTCATGTTTTAGCCCTTTTGCGTAGGAAAAAAAGAGAAGGCCGCCGCCGGCCTATTAGAGGAAGGATTGGGATTTTGGGGTTCCATAGCCTATAAATATGTACTCATTCTCTAGTTTAATGTCATATTGAAGATTAGAATTCATTAGTAGTTGTAGTTATCTTTGTTCTTTTGAATATTCTCTTCGTTCTAACTCTCTTTCTTACGAATATCTTTCAACAATCACAGTCATCACCCTAGGTAGGGGTGCGCATTGGGTAGTTGAGTGGGTTTTTGTCTCAAATTGATCCACCGGCTTACTTAAGAGTTGGAATAATTCTGAACCGGTGTCCACACACATCATTCTTCATTTTAAGGTTAAGTAGGTGGCGAATGTGTGGGGTTGGGTCATGGGTTAACTCGCTGATGAATTTACTAACTAGTTATTAAGAAAGTTTACTAACATTTATAATAACTTCCTCAAAAATTAGTAACACGGTAGCAATTTAGACACTTTCCACTTTGTCTCATGTGGATCTGTATGGTATTGCATCATATTTTTCATTATTTCAATAATCAATTGTGAAGAGAAAATTGACACATTTTGCGACTTTTGTACAATTAAAAGTTTATAATATGCATCCCAATATCCAATGGTCATTGCACAATTTAATAACCAATAATAATAGTAGTACAAAGGGACGAGATACGGTGACAACCCTCTAGGGGGTTGTGAGATTTACAACCAACTTTGTAGCCATCAGATACGTTCTCTTTCCTGTCTCTTTCTTCTTTTTTTAAACCAATGGTTAAGATTAAACCAAGGGCAATTTCGGAATGGAGAACTTACCACATGAGATCCTTACCATTTTCCATATAAATACTCTTTATTAACAACAACAAAAAAAATTCAGACCCTCCCCCCAATTTCCTACATCTCGCCGTCTCCCTCCTCTTCCCCTCTCACCTATCTCTAACAAAAAACACAAGCCGTCAAGAGCTCCACCACCGACCTCCATTATCGTCGTCCTCAATCACCACGCAGACCTCCATCATCGTTGTCGTGGCCGTCTTCCTCCTCACGCCGACGTTGTCCCTGCCGCCCCTGCTGCCCTCGTCGCCATCTTTACACCACTGTCGCCGCCTCTGCCTCCCCCTTCCTCCGCCTCTCACCACCTCTCGTCTTCACGGTGCCGCCACGAGGTCACCGCCTCTCCCCTGCCTTTCCCTTTCCTCATCTTCTAATTTTTTTTTTCAGATCTGTGATTTTTCAGATTCCAAATTTGATTTTTTGTGTTATTCTTTAATGGTACGCTACCAGTGGTACTAGTACGTTACCACTACTCACTGGTATCGTACCAGTACCACTAGTAGAGTACCAGTACCACTGGTAGCTTACCAGTACCACTGTATGCTAGATGAAAATCACTACCACTAGCACACTCACGAAGTTGTACTTTTTTGCAGGTGGCCGGAGTGAGTCTGATTGAAGGTTGTCACCAGAAAAAGTCTGCCGGTCGGAGTAAGTTTGGCGGTCGGAGCGAAGAGGCTGCTGGAAAAAGTAGAGAGAGATAGAGAGAGAGCTATAAGTGTATTAATTTTAGGGCTTTTTTTTTAAAAAGCATGTATTTAATATGGATTTTTAATTCCCAATATGTAATTAATACAAAAAAAATAATTAATAATTTTTTTTTGTTATACTCAAATTACCCTTGGTTGTGAAACTCACAACCCTCTAAGGGGAAGTGACTGTATCCCATCCCATAGTACAAATATATTACATTCTCCATCTTTAGAAGTCGATGATCAGTGTGCAGTGCGATTAGGAAATATGATAACTATTTGGTAGTACAAACAATAATCAATAACGTTTATGTCATGCAAAAATTAATATGATACGGGTCATTTAGGTGAATTGCAGTCCAACTGCGCCACTCACCCGAGTAAGTGCAGTTAAGAGATTTACCAATTCACAATCCACTCATATGTCATCAATGCAGTTTAGACTATTTCTACGTGGGACTGTGTCAAACCGTGAATAACCACCCACGGGTCCACTCCTAACACGAGCAAACTAAAATGAAATTACTGGACAAATCTTGAGAAAATTATAAATTTCTTTTGCACCGTCCAAATTAGGAAAGGAGGTTGAGTATCCAAAATTGTGTTGGTAACTTGGTGTGCATTTTATATTCCAAACGTCAAAATAAATAAGCACCAATCGAACACTTTGTTTACATCAACCGAATACGAGATGAGATTGAGAGTATCCATTTAATTTATCTTATGTTGGTGGTCAATGACATAACTTCGATATCAAGCCATAGAGTATACTACATATGACAAAAGCAAAACTATCTATCTATCGACGAAAAAAGAATAGATTAGATTTTTATAGATCACATGAATTACGTGTTCCAACGGCAATTTTGACGTTCTACGTACCTTCTTGTCATCTTGTTAGGGTTAAGAATAATCAATTACAGAACTGAAACGAACGTCTTATGATGCAATGAGATCAGAACAGAAAGATGGTAGAAGGCTTGATATATTATTAGTGAATCCTTTTTCAGCCTAAGCGTGTTCGGTCTTTGTTCAAACTGAGGCCAGCTGCTACTTAAGGAAGGCTGAAGATAATAAAAATAAATAGTCTTGTTGTTTCTGCATAGATACTGTATCTCCTTCCTAATTAAGGGCTACTCTTTTATTAGCCTTGGGTGGTTGAGTTCGAAACTATAAATCAGCTAAAATCCTTTTTTGCATCAACTCACCCATTTTATTATGAGCAGAATAATTTTGGGTTGCAAATTCCAAAATAGGTCACCCACTAAACATTATAAACTTTTAAATTTAAAGCAATTTGAACTAGTTGAAGAAGTTTTTATTAGAATTTTGGTGGTAAAACTATCCACCACCAAAATTGAGTTCAATCTACGTAAAAATACTCATTGCTCTCGGATATCAATTACCAACTTGTCTATTCTTATAGATTGTTCGCCAAAGTGGAAGACGATTATAATAATTTGTCTATTCATATTGAGTAGAAGTTATAATGAAAATGTTATAGTTGTTTCCAAGGTTTGGATTGAGTTGTCTGAATTGTATAAACCGGAGAGATCCAACCCTAGCAAATTAGTGCACGATCGGTTAATGAAATAGACATGTTAACTGCATGGACAAACTAATCGTATATGTTATCTAACCAACAGCATTTGTTTATACAACGTATCT